AGATTGAGGTAATTTTGTTCTATTCCTCTGTGAAAGTTTCTTTTGCATAATGCATTGCTATGTTATTAGGTTATGGATTAAATTTGATACTTATTGTTCTCAGCAATTCAGGCATATGCCGATATTATTTTCAGCACTTCTGACCAACTTTTTGAATAGTAATGATATTATACTCGGTAATGTATGTAACAATGAATATCCAGTATTCAACATAGAACATCTTGACCACCATGTGAAACAGCTTATTAAAGTGTGTTTTAGCATTTGCACATGGTGACGTCTGTTTATTCATGTCAGCAGTTCGCCTAGTTCCATATTTACTATTTTACTTGGTTATGATTGGCTCACCCAATTTTTCTTCAGATTAGGAGGCTTCCGGTTGGTGATGGAATCTGGATAGCTCGCCATAAACATCTTGATAATGAATATGTTCTTGATTTTATTGTTGAGAGGAAAAATATTGATGATTTGCGGTGCTCAATCAGGGACAATCGCTATAGAGACCAGAAATTAAAACTTTTGGTAACTTTTTAACTAATTGATATTTTTCTTATTTCCCTCTGGTGGTAGCTGCATTCTGTCAATCTAAGAAATGTATTTTTCTCTCCTCTCCTGAATCAATCGAGGAATTTCGATATTGATATGCTATGGACTTGTTGAGAAATAGGCTTGTAGAATCTGTCACTACTTCCATTACAAAACTGGGTTTTGTTATTAATATGTTCGTTCCCGTTTCTATAGCTTTTAGATGGCAGCTCAGCACTGCTACGATTATTTCACCAAGGGATTTTCTGTTAGGTTCTGTTTCATTTAGTCCAATTTTTCTGGGGACTACGTGGATGTATCATGTACAACTCATGTTGAAAATTGACCATGCATGGTTGAAAATCGTTTGAAAATATTGGGCTAAGTTTGCTTAAATGCTAGTCCATTTGTTATTATTATCATTCGGCATGAATATTATGGGCAGAATACTGCAAGATGCAGATGCTCGCGTAGTTATTTATCTTTGTGGCTAGCTTCTTACTTATTAGTGCTTCTTGCTTCTTGTATCATTAGAGATGTGGGCTTAAAAGGATGATATATCTTGTGGAAGGTGATCCCAATTCATCTGAAGCGGCAGAAAGCATCAAAACAGCGTAAGTGTGGTTCCTCTTTTTTATTATGACAAGCATCAAGAAAAATTGGGTTCTTTGTTCCTTATGATCTTCATGAGTAAAGTGATTTAATTACAATTATGAAATCTGAAATCCCTTTTATATTAGTGGTTACAAGACGTGGTCTCTTAGTTAAGAATGAGAGAAAAAAGATGTTATGAGTTTGATCGTGTGAGTCTGTTACATGGGTGGGGCCTGCTTAGAAAGGAATTGGTAGGCATTGGTAGGGCTAGAAAGGAAATCATGTAAATATGGTTAAATACTGTTGCATGAGAGGGGGCAGGGCAAGTTTCTCCATAGGAGTGATTAAGAAGCTGTTAGGTAAGTTAAGGGGGAAGGCAATGGAATTGTGAGAACGAATTCTCCCTTTACTCTTTTTTTTTTATTCTGTACATTTTATTTCATCAGCTTTTTAGGTAGTTTTTGCATCTGATTCTCATCAAATTACCCCCCCCCCCCCCCCC